AGAGAGAGAGAGAGAGAGAGAGAGAGAGAGAGCTATCGGAGGAGGACTAGATAGAGGAAATATTCATCAAGGTGATCATGGTGGAAAAAAAAGAAAAAAAAAAAAAAAAGAGAGAGAGAGAGAGAGAGAGAGAGAGAGAGAGCATAGCTGATCTATTCACAAGAATGTTATTACTAATCCTTCCCCTTGATCTATTCACGCTGATCTATTGACGGGAATGCTAGTACTAATCCTTCCCCCCTTTGATCTATTCACGACAATGCTATGACAGTTGGATGGTTCGCAATGCAAATAGATAAACATACTGCATTGCCTGTACTTTCCAAGCTTGATCTCTATCAAAAGCGGCAGTAATTCGGATTGTAGGAGGAGGAAAGGAAGAGAAGATGAAGGAGAAGGAGAAGGAAGAAGAAGGAGCATTGCCCTCGCTTCGCGATCTTCATTTCTATGGACAGTGGCAGTCATTCAGATTACTTCGCCACGAGGTCGTGAAGCAGAAGAAGAAGAAGAAGAAGAAGAAGAAGAAGAAGATGACGATGATGATGATGCAAGTAACATTAACTCAATTGACATTAACATAATAAGGATATTCTTTCTATTTAAAAAGATTCGATGATGATGATGGAACGTAGCATTGCCCCAGCTCCATTTCCATCCACAGCCACAGTGATTCGGATTACTTTGTGACGACCAGAAGAAGACGAAGAAGACGAAGAAGAAGAAGAAGCGTATCGTTGCCCGTACTTCGCGAGCTCCATATTTGTTCACGTCAGCAGTAATTCCGATTACTTTGCACGAAGAAGAAGAAGAAGAAGAAGAAGAAGAAGCGTATCGTTGCCCTTACTTCGCGAGCTCCATATCTGTTCACGTCAGCAGTAATTCCGATTACTTTGCAAGACTCATCTCTGTCGTCATCATTCGCAGTACTTGGGCGACCAATCGTACTGTTGCGCTTTCACTCTTTTCGCAGTATTCAATTCATCCTCCTAATAGACAGCAGCAGCAGCAGCAGCAGCAGTATTTCTGCTTTGTGATCACCTTGGGAGTTTCGTTTCCATTACTCATCCTCTGGCACACCCAAGAAGGCAACAACATCAGAGCAGTTTTTCGTTCCAAGTATCTGACACACCGAGACGTTACCTATGGGCCGTCATCGCTCTCATCTTCTGGAGTTATCTTCACGGACAGAAGCAGCCGGAAAAAAAATAAATAGAAATATTGGTTATTCACTCACTTTGAGATATTGATGTGATTTTCATCAATCAACATCAACAGTCATTCGTTCCAAGTATCTGACACACACAGCGGGAAAGCACCAGCGAATCGCAATTGCTCGCCCCTTCCCCCTCCCCTTCCCCCTCCCCTTCCCCTTCCCCCTCCCCTCCCCTTCCCCTTCCCCCTCCCCTTCCCCCCCCCACGCGCCCCTCTCACTCATTCACGGCGAGCGCACCACAGAATAAAGGTAGATTGACGGCGGATATATCCTCATGGTAAAATGGGACGCTGGACCCGTTTTCCAGCAGGTGCTGTTAGCTCTTATCACCTCTTCTAGCGGGAGTCTGGTCTTAAAAAAAAAAAAAAAAAAAAGCCTCATGGTAGAGAGAGTACAGCCTTGCCAACGCTAAGGTTGAGGGTTCAAATCCCCTTTTTCTTGACTCGTCAGCTTTCCTTCGCTCTCTGGCCAAGCAAAGAATGGGCCGGACGCCACACCCGCGGGGTGGGTGGGTGGGAGGGAAAGATGAACGCACAAGACCAGCACCAGCAGTAACTCGGGCTATTCACTC